AAATTATGAGGCACACGCAATGCGGATCTATTTGTACATTTAAAAAGTTTAAATATCAAAATGTAAGACATATAATTTATATCTACTAAAGTATTATTTTGCATCAATATTTGTAGGACGCTAAAAAAAATTAGTTACTACATCTTAAAATATATTAAGTTTAGGTACCACACTCTAATTTACCTATGGAACCACAGGTTTATTAAAAACGGCCACAAGTTCCCTAAACACACACCATAAATCTCATATGGCAGACCACAAGTTTATTAAAGTGCACTTATATAAAACAAAAAGGAAAAAGAAAAAGCAAACCACAAGTTGCTTAAAATATACAACAAGTTATCTGAAGCATACCGAAAACCTCATAAGGCATAATACAAGTTTTTTAAAGCATACCACAAGTTTCCTGAAGCATACCAGAAACCTCATAACGCATACCACAAGTTTATTAGAGCGTATCAGAAGTTTATGAAAGCCGGCCGCAAAGTTTCTTAAACCAAACAAGAAACCTTATAAAGCATACCACAATTTTCTTAAAATGGACCACAAACTTCATCAAATTGGACCTATTCATAAATTTTAAAAATTTTAGGTATCAAAATGTAAGACATACAATTTTTAGCTACTAAAATGTAATTTCCATTAATATTTTATGACATATGTGCAAAAGTGAGTATAAATTGGTCACTTGGTATATTGGATTCATCAAAATCAATGCTGTCAAAGTCGAGCCGGAGTATGACCCGGTAACGTGAACGACTCGGTCATTAGTGGTCCAGCCGGCATTAAACCGTTTAAAAACCGTTTGAGAACCGGTACCTAATAAACAGGCATCTGTAATAGTAGACACTTCTTAATCATAGTAAACCACAAGTAAATTACTCTCTTAAACCATTTTAGAACATCAGTACTGAAAGATCTAAAATTCAATTCCAAACCACCACATTGTTCCAAAATAGAAGCAATATCACACGAGTCTGAACATTAAACAAGAGTCTTAAACATGGAAACCACTCAAAGTCTCAAACTCAAACAACTATCAAATACAACTTCATCATCATTTCATTCACCATCACTAGTAAACAAATGCAAATTAACATTGAAATCAAAATGATGCAAATTAACATTACAATCAACCAGAAATTTGCATCAATTAGGTTTAACAAAATTAACTTACCTCGAGCAGGAGGTGAGTCGGCTGGTGGGAGATGTTGCGGACTGTGGAGGTGAGATGGCTGGAGCAGGGCAGTGGTTGGGGGAGATGTTGCGGCAGGAGCAGGGCTGCAGGGGGCTGCTTGCGACGACGGCAGGGAGCAGAAGCAACGATGGCGACTGGCGATGGCGCTGCTTGCGCCGGGAGCGGGGAGCAGAAGCGACGATGGCGACTGGCGATGGCGCGCTGCTTGCGGCGACGGGACGGAAGCGCTGGAGGCCTGGGGCGATGGTTGACGGCGGCAGGGTGGCGACGCTCTCCCTCTGTCGTCTGTTCTACACTTCTACTTCTAGGTCGAAGATGGAGAAATAAAAGGAAAGTTAGAGTTTTGTTTGGCTGCCCAATTCCACGATTCCTTTTCTATTTTTTTTTTTTAGGGTAAACCAAACGGCCGGACCGCGCGACCGGCTTGAACGGCTCGAGCGGTTAACCGCTTCGGCCGCTCGCCGGCCGCTGTATAAAACCGTGGCAGTTAAATAGCTGATCCGAGCCGGTTTTACGGCCGGGTGGCGCCTTTGACGGTCCGACCGGCCGGCTCGGTTCGACTTTGACAGCACTGATCAAAATTCAAATCCCATTTATTATTGTAATTTTTTCAAAATCCAAAGCGCGAACAAATTTGACAACAAAAACTTTTCTTTACATGACTCCCAAATTCAGTATGCATGTTTAGGGCCTTTAAATGGCGGAGTTGGAAAAATCTCATTGGTGTTGGATACGAAATGCAACACCAAAATCCATTGATCTAAAAAACCACTATGTTTCTTTTTAAATAGGGTTAATACCCTCGTTTGGCCCGAAGTTTAGCGTAAGTGACAGTTTTGGCCCCATCTTTTAAATAAGACGTTTATGACCTACTTTTGAAATTATTGGACAGATTTGGCCCGAAACTTGTGTTGACTGTTAATATTAACGGTCAACATTTATTCCGTTAATGACTCAGCAATCAACGCTGAAGTGGCAGTGATGTGGCTTCCACCTCATTTTTATTTCAATTCTTTTTTTTTTCTAGTCTTTCTTTGTTACTTAAAAACTTCAAAAATAAAAATATAAAACTCATCAAAGCTCAACCGGCAAAAATTACAACCCCTAATTTTGTTCTATCATTGGCAAAAATTACAATCCCGAGTCCGCTGTAGGGGAATAGAGAACTCTAACGATGAACCTCCAGATCCCTCGATTCTCCCTCATCCATTGACTGGCGACTAGTATCATTCAGTAGCAGCCTGCGAAGAGAAAGGCATAGCAACGTCGGTTGCGGCGGCGGCGGCTAGGCTCTAGCTGAAACTGGATAATCGAAGCATAGATCGAGGCTGGAGGTCGAGGCGGCGGCCGAGGAGATATGTCGACGAGATCCATCGCCCAGAGCTGCGCCCCCGCGCTCCTGCACGTCACGGCAGCGGAGAAGTCGCGGGGCTCGAAGCAGTTCGGCACGCGCACCACCAGCGCGTCGAGGGTCGTCTTCCCCGCGTCAAACCTCATCGCTTCGTAGATGGCGTAGCTGAACCCGTCCTCCGAGAAGTTGAAGAATTCGTTCAGCGCGGCGACTTCCTCGGAGAAGCTGCGGTGCGGCGCCGGCTGGACGCTGGGGAAGATGAGCCGTCGCGGGTGTAGAGCACATCGTGGACGGCGAGCGAGTCGGTCAGATCCAGAATCGGTTCGACGGCGGCGAGGAGCTTCGTGGTCCCGCAGGTCTCGATGACGAGCTTCAGCGGGTAGATGAAGAGGCTCGACTGAGTCGGTGTAAGGATGCCATGGAATGTGCTTCTGGGGACGGCGTAGTTGATGATGATAAGGATGCGGTAGTGTTTGATTTAGATTTAGGGTTTGGTTTGGAAATTTGGGAGAAGAAGGGATTTATTTAATTTCTTAATTGTTATTTTTATTTTTAATTAAATAAAAAATTTAAAAATATTATTTAATGACGTGGCATGCCACATCAGTTATTTTTTGCTGAGTCACTAACAGAATAGTGTTTGACTGTCAATATTAACGGTCAAAGAGAATTCTGGGCCAAATCTGTCTAATAATTTCAAAAGTAGGCCATAAATGTCTTATTTAAAAAATGAGGCCAGAACTGTCACTTACACTAAACTTCGGACCAAACCAGGGTATTAACCCTTTTAAATATTCACTTGTTTTTTTTAATCATGAATCTTTTTCATAAAACTTAATTTTGACACCTAGTTATTTGTTTTACCCACAAAGTTCTTATTAAAAAATAAATACTTACTATGGCATAGCCATAATTTCATCTAAAGTGGGTCAAACATGGAATATACATATATGGATGGTTCTATCGTACACCAGTTCTTTCCTGATGGTGTACGAAATTATACTAGTCCCAGGCTTTCTTTTCTCCCTCTCCCACCCATGACAGGATCGTTCTATAACCTAGTGTATGTCGTGCACTAGACAATCTCTATCGTTTACGTCCGTCTCAACGACCAGCATAAATGAGATAATTTATTTTTTTAATCCCACAAAAAAAGAACCCGCATTAATGTTGGCCGTTGAGATGGACGTGGACGGTGGAGATTGTTGGTGTACGATAGAAGTCACCATATATATATTTTAGAATGTGCTTGAGTTTTGAAATTTTTTCTAAAATACATTCATCATGCAAATTATGAAGGATGTTAAGATACCACATGGAAAAATCGTTCATGATTCCACAACTCATCTTACTTAGAAGTGTTTCTTTACTTTGTTTATGGCAGTAAGTGCTCTTTCAACACTTGAATGACAACCGATAGTAACAAAGTTTTGAGTTTTTGTTTATATTAAATTCACTTCCATAATGTATGAATTAAAAATTAAATATAAATCACAAAACATTTTTTTAAATTGTCTACAATAATATAGGAATCTTGTATTCAATCAACCATCGCATAAATATAATTACTCCACATGTTTTGAATCAAGGTAGTGCAAATTACCCACCTTGAGCTATCTTTATATGTCGATGTCAACTCTTAGCAACATAACTGTCTTGAAAATATATATGAATTAAAAATGAATTCGCATTTTGATCATTTATAGCTTCTTAAGAGTTAAAACCCAGCATGTGAGTTTTATCCTTCCATATTACTAGGCCACCATTGAGTTCCTAGTTAGAATTTCCGTGCATAATTGTATTATTCTCATTTGGAGTTAATAGTAAAACAAGTTAATAATATAAAAATTTAAGAAAAAAATACTTGATAAGCAATTTGTGGAAACAAAAAAAAAATTATTCTAAAATATGAAAAATTATATAGACAATTCTAAGCTAGGATGAATGAACAATAAAATACCTGAGCTAATTATCACTAATCTGTATGTAACAACTAGCATAATGTACTATAGGGGCAACTTAGTATTTTGTTCGGTTAGGTCGATTAGGATTTCGGGGCAGGTCTATATAATGTAGTTTATCGTTCAGTAAAAAAATCAATCAAAAAATAGTTCTACGTATCTCCCAACCCTAATTTCCTCTCTTCTCCCTAAATCCGGCCGCCGGCCAATTCTTACTCTTCTTCTCCCCAAATCTTGTATCATCTCTCTATTTCTATTCTTAATCACATCCTGTTACGATAATCTCATATGTCAAGATCCGTACCTACAACAAATGTTATTTTCAAATCAGGCGTATACTATCTAGAAGATTTCAAATAATTTAAAAATACGAATGAACTTATTAATGCAGATAGTAAAAGATGAAACGAAATTCCTGTGTTTGGTAAAAGCTAGTTTAAATATTACAAAGGAACACAGAGTAGTTTCGCAGACCCAGCTCTCCAATTCCCTATGTCAGCGACAGGAACACGGAAACTAAAAAGAAAGTCCCCAAGAAAACCAACATCCCAGGAAACCCAACCAACAACCCCAGCTTCGAACCTGATCCTGAACTCTTCTTCTTCTTCTTCTTCTTCACTACATCTTCCCTTTTCGTCCTACATTTCCTCTTCGAGACTGTCCTCTTCCGCTTCTGATTCCATCTTTCGACGAATTCCAGATAGATGGCAACGCCAGGATTCTTCATGGTCACTTGGCTCTCTGCCAGGATGGAGTTGTTGACACCCTGAACGTTGTTGTTCACGTATATGTTGATGCAGCAGGCCCCATCCTGAAGCTTCCTAGGTAGATCATCGTCAGAACGAATGTACATCGAGGCACCGGAGTTCTTCCCTTCCATCTTGAACCCAGCATAACCACTTTCTGATTCCATGAGAATCTGCAGACTGGACGAAGTTTGAAGAGATGGAAATTCAAACAAGAGGGTTTGCAGCAACAATATTTATGGTCTTTTGGCGAGGGTGGGTGGGGTTTGGGATGGTGTTGCACGAGGTTTCTCCTGCTACAAGTAAGCTCAAAGATTCAGTTTGGTATGACTTGAGCCACACTCTAGAGATCCAGACTTTGGCTGGCCTTCCTAGCTTCAGGTTCTTCCCCAGTTGCTTATTTATGAGCAAAACCATGAAAAAAGAAGCCAACAATTATGTACCGAATCATAAGAGGGCAATGCGCGTTGCATCTTGCGAACGCTAATGCTGAATGAACAGAATGATATAAGCTAGAGATCCCCTTGATAAAACCATCCAAATAACATGAAGCTGGTGGAAGTTCAGTTGTGTTCTTTTCTTCTGTGACTCAGTATGGAAAGTTGGCAACTTTTAGGGAAACCCATTGATATTATTACTGGCTTTATGAAACTCTACAAAAGATACCAAAGATACAACTGCATTTCTGATACATAGTCATAAACAAGTTCCACGGCGAGGCAAAGGTTATTCGTGGATGTTCTTGCTTCTGAATCGCCACTAAGGGGAAACAATTCATGGACCGGAAATCAGTCCTTCACCTTCACGAGTCTAAAAAATTTATGCCACAATTTTCACCGATCGTAAACATTCAGGAATCTGAATATCTAAGTTACGGCAAAGAGTCTGGTGATACTCCCTCGCTGACTGTAGAGCCCAATTGTGGGCCGCCCTTCCGGTAGGATAAGAGGAACTCGATAGGGTATCCTCTCAGTTTGTGTGGCTCAATCCCAAGATCAAGGAAGGTTAAAGCTGCAAAACAGACCAAGTGCAGGGGCACTGTAAGATAATATATTCAGAGTAGGAAGTAAAACCAGAAATCACTCAAATCAATTCACGGAACTAACCATTTTCTGAGACGAGGGTATCTGTTGAAATTGCATTTATCTTATCCAGGTTGAAGATACTTGGAGTAGGTAAAGGAAACGGAACCTTGTTAAGTAGGATTTCTCTTGGCATAGCAGCTGCCTGCAAGAATCCAACAGGCATTACTGCTGAATCATATTGCAAACTTCAACGTGAAATAACACCACCATATTGTTATGGAATAGGCTATAGGATAGCCAACAAACAGTTTCAGTATCCTTTATATCCAAGAACTACCTTGGCAACAGGAAGTGGAATTTTGACATAGCGAGGCCATTCACGGATTGTCTCAAACATGACCTCTGCCTGTAGAGCACAAAATAGCCTTTGAGTAACTGTCATCTACTGATTACCGCTGCAACAGGAAAGAAATAAGACAAAAATTACCAGTTCATGCATTGTAAAGATTTCTGGTCCACCAAGCTCATAGATTTTTCCCATACTGGTCCCATCATCTTTCAAAGCAGCAACAACTGCAGCCGCAACATCAACAACATATACAGGTTGGAACCTGTGACAAACATATGGTTAGGAGATCATAGATACACTAAATAGTCGAATAATTAATCTCTAGATACTTCTTATATAGTACATACTTGGTTGATCCATCTCCAAAGAGAGGAACAAACGAATACTTCTTCGCAAAGTGTGCCCATGTGTTCAACATACGATCTTCTGTACCAATCATTGTAGCAGGCCTCAAAACTGTGGCCTACAGCGTACACTTGTACATCAGAAATGCATAACAAAGGCAATCGAAGTAGTATCACAACTGAAACAGATACATATAGTTAAGTAGACAAAGAGAAAGACAACGAGCGTTCGTGGGGAAAGCAACCAGCTTGCATCCATAGGATAATTCATAAAGGAGCCATTAGTCATTGATTTCACACCTCTCAAAAGAATGTTCAAGCACTAAGATCTATTAGAAAACTGAAGTAGCGGCTAACAATTTTCCTTTCACAGGTAGCAGCTAAGTCATACTAAAATGTCAATGCTGGCCTTTTTCTTTCAGCACTGCATTCTCTCATCTTTAACCATTTTCACCAAATAGAATCACTTATAAAGCAAAGCAGCTCTTCCATCATGAGGTAACTGACATGACTCTTGTTCCTTTATTATCAAATTGCACAGCAAGATTTTAAACAACTGATAACTATATCTTACCGAAACATGACATATAGACATAAGAAACCTGAGAATCGGATTTCATCGGACGATTGCATAAATTAGATAAGAACACTTTACTAGTTGTTAGAAGTTCACAATCATAAAATTTGTCTACATTTCTAATGTGATAACAGTTCGACAAAGCAATTAAAGAGACCACTATAGATTCTAACCTCGGGTATTTCTCTTAGAACAGACTGCTCTGCAGCTGCCTTAGCTTTCAGATATCTTGATGGAGATGAAGGCGAAGCTCCCAGACAAGAAACCTGAATAAATCTCATGATACCTCCATGCTCTTTCGCGATCTGTGCAAGTCAATTAAACCCATGAAGATTTTGGATAATTTTGGCGCCTAAAAGGAAATAATACATCAAAAGGTGACTGAAGCCTAAGACTCTTGATGCCAAGTCATAATAAAACCAGTCAATGAGGGAAGGGAAATCAACCAAGACCCCATTAGTGCTGTTCACAAACTTACAATCAGAGAAACGATACACCTTTCCAATCAGATCATTCCTCTTCATATACTTACAGCTGAAGTTCTGTTCACATCTATGATTACCATTAGTTTTCTTTTCACTATGGCAATTAAAAGGATTAAGTGTTGGGCCCACACTGTACTCAACAGCTGATCAGCAAGCTAAATTTCTAGTTGCTAATATAGGAACGTCACAACATGTTCCTTGAATGGCAATTAATCATACTGCATGGACTTAATCTCTGCATATTTTCTCACTGGTTTTCCCTTTCCCTACATTACATATGATAGCAAACATGGTCCAGTTCATAAACAATATCAGTGGTTTGAGGCTTCTGAAAGATTACTCAGATTACGAGGTGAAAACGAAGCACCAGAAGCTAACAAATTCAACAGAATATCTCAATTAAGGTAAGATGCATGTAAGAACCTACCGTGGCAAATTTTTCAGCCATGCCATGGTTAACTTCCTCAAAGCTGTAGTTCCTTGTTTCATAGTCCCTTCCTGTCAACAGGGAAATATGACTCATTAAGCTAAATAAAAACACTATTGGACTTTGAAAAGCCTGTCAAGCCACAGTTGAAAAACATTACCCATAAGATTGATAACAACATTAGCCTTTGCCATCACAGCCTTCACGGAATCTTCATCTCTTGGGTTGAAATGCATTGGTACAACCTGAACATGAAAATATGTGAAATGGCCACACCACAGGAAGCATTGAATCAAAGAGCCCATTACATGGAGTCCTTCCACTCAAAGTTGAATAGCAAAAGCACATTACCTGACCCAAATCTCCCATCAACTTTAGGTGGCGATGGGCATCTTCACCACCACGAAATGGAACTAAAACCTGCGATCCCATTTTAGCTGCAACAGTAAAAATGACAGTAAGTCGTAACATTAAGAAAATGCAGAACGGGGGAGCAATGGTAAAACCAAGATGATAGGATAACGAGAGGGGAAGACTGGCAGGAGGAATGCCGAATGCAAAGTGGGATAGGAGAGAAATTAATAGGACTTCCATGTGGTAATGTACAAAATTGACAGTAAGAACGACTCACCAAGTTGCTGCACAACATAACGACCTAGAAAACCTGTAGCTCCAAAGACTACAGCAATGAGCCCACTGCAGCAAAACATAAAAGTGAAAACATTTCATGGCTACTGGATTCCGCCGTGGCCAACTGACAAACCAATTCCGAACTGAAACCAACAAATCTTTCTTTTCAACCCAAATGGCAGCTAATGCCGTTCATTAGCAATTCAGCAACAAACAAAAAAAATGATCATTGGGGGGGAAATTCGAGAGTTGGAGAGGGGGGAATCAGATTCTTACCTGACCGACGATCTCCCGCCGGTACCCTTCCGGACAAGGTGGCCTACACCCTTCGGGGTTATAGTTGATATGTAGCGCGGATGTTCAACTCCATAATCTGCCAATGGAAAAAGTAAGTCGATTGGCGAAGGATCCCAAATGAAGCAAATTCGAGGCATTGGCGCAGAGAACCCTGTGTAAATCGGAGGAAATGGAACATTACAGTGATCGGAGAGCGGGTAGACAGAAGCAGCGGGCTTCAGGTAACGGTGCCCTAATCGCCTTGAAACCGCCTGCATCGTTCTGGCTTTCCACGGAGAGAGGGAGAGAGAATGAGAGGAAGGATCTGTTCTGCAGAGAGCGAGAGGGAGAGAGGGAGAAACGAGCTCAGAGCAGAGGTAGGACTTGTGGGTTTGAGTTGGGCCATTTGTTTTTTTTTTGGTCGATATATTTGCAGGCCCATGAAATTGACCTGATAATTTGCGAATCCCACATCGACAAAGCACGAGAGAGATCCATGGTTCATAAGTAGGAAACCGACCTTAACTGACAAGACGTGTTTTGGGGTGTAATGGAGGAGTTCTCACAAGAACTCCGAAGTTAAACGTGCTCGGTGCAGAGCAGAACAAGGATGGGTGACCTTACGGGAAGTCACCCTGAATTGCACCCCAAGTCGAAAACCGTGCGGGTGTAGAGGCCCAAAGCGGACAGTATCTTGTCGGGAAAAGGTTTGGGATGTTACAATTGTCTTCCGATTTATTGCGCAAACCCCGTTCTGAAAATAACTTATTCCAGTTGTAAAAAAAACTATCCCATTTATTGCGTGTATTCCATTTACCAGGTATTATACTTCGTCTCTAAACTAAAGTTATGTTATATGGGTTTTATACGTGTTTAGTATGGGAGCCATCAAATGAATGAGGGAAAATGAAACGGCTTGACAATAATATGGATACAGAAGTTTTAAACAGATAAAGTATGTATGGGTACATATATATGTAATAAACAGAGTATTTACTAATTACGTCAACTATAAGAGACCAATTATTTTATTCCGACCCATTTTCCCCTTTCTTTCTCCATCATATTCGCACAATTTCTTTCGTTGATGAGGAGAATAACATCTTTAACCCCAATTCACAAGAACTCAAGTGTACTGTTGTCATGTTTTATTGGGAAGAAGCTCTTGAGGTCGAGTGTTTGAGCAATGAAGAGATTATCGATGGCATTTCAGCCATCATTTTGGAATTCTTTCCCAAGCCAATGATATGATCCCAAATTGCTTGCATTACAAGCTTCCATGGCTTGATCAAGAAACAAGTTTAATTGGGAAAATGATATTTGAATTTTGATCAAGTGTTTTCTATGTTTCAAGTTGCCAATTTGGGAGGCTTGTTTCTCTTGATTGGCTTGGTGAAAACTCGAGTTTAAGGGCTTGTATTGAAGGTGGAGAGTTCTTCTACAAATATGAATGCTTGGATGCTCAAGGGGAAGCCTGGAAGGTCATGATCGAAGCTTTAAAAAGTGCCCAGTTGAAACCGAGAAACTGCCTGAAAATGGCCAAGGCAGAAACCATGGTTGAGGAGCTATCTTAGGAGCTTAATTCGAACCAGATAGAGGAGAATCAAGGCCAGAGAGTTATGCCACATGAAAGTACATGTTTCAACCTACAACCTAAATGAATTGGCTGAAGCTTTCGAGTTCATTTGATCCATGTTCAAGACATCCTAAAGTTGCTAGTTAGAACTGTTTGTTTTGTAAGTTAAGAGGCAGAATCCTTGTTGGGTTCGAATTAGGAGTAGAATTAGTTTACTTGCTGAATTAGGTTTATTTCAAGTTGTGTTTTGAGTTTGTTTATTTTTGTGTATGCCTATAAAAGGCTTGCTTCGTGTAAGGTACAGGGGAGATTGAATAGAGAGCAAATTACTCTAATTCTCAAGCGTGAACTTGTGAGTTTTTGTTTTGGTGCGTCCCAAAACTTGTTGAACCCTAGCCTATTGATTGAGATATCCCACTCAATTACATCGAAGGCATCATTCTACAGAAATGCAATCTCCTAGGTGTTAGATTTCCCTTTTGTTCCATCTAATTTCGAGTTCAAACTAGCTCTTCAAGCTCATTTTGATAGCTCTGTTTGTGTTCTTGCTTCGAGGAGATTCAATTTCTTTGAATCTTTGAAGTTGCGCCATTTCTGATCCAACTAAGACCCTCTTCTTGCGCTCATCAAGTGGCATCGATAGCCTGGTTCTACATAGTGGCGAAGAAGACGATTGCGACGAAGGAAGACGTTCGTTGGACAAGGTCAAAGGGCCTTGTTTTCGGTGATCCGCTGGTGTTGCTCTCTGAACAGAAGAAGAAGAAGAAGAAGCAAGCGGCGGCAGTGGCAAGTAAATCCACCGAAATTGGGGTCATCGTGACTAGACCTCCTTGTTGACTCAGCGTCGCGACCTGTTGGTTCAAATCATCGAACTTGGGTGAAAGAGCATGGAATTTCTCGTCCTTTTTCGTCAGTTAGCGTTTGGAACAGAACAACCACTTGCTGTTGGAGGAACTGTTGCAGCTCGGTCATCGTGATGGGTTGATTCTGCCTATCTGAATTGGGAGAGGAAGATTCTTTTGCTCTTTCAGTATGGCCAGTACACGGATTCACAGAAGATCGCCTTGGCCACGTATGAGTTCACGGATTACGCCGCTTAGTGGTGGACTGGTGGGAGCAAGTTCGTCTCCGACGACAACAAAAACATGCGACCTCTGGCGACAACCTAGGACGATTTAAGGAGTTTAATGCATGAACGATTTGTGCAGGTGTATTATCATCGAGAACTGCACGAGGCCCTGCAGTCAATTTGTCATGGATCGAGATCAGTTGACGACTACTACAAAGAGCTAGAATTGCTCTTGATCAGAGCCGACGTCCGAGAAGATTCCGAGGCTACAATTTTCATGATTCTTGCACGAACAGAACAGGGAGATTCAGAATGAGGTTGAGCTACATCAATTCATTGATTTGGAGGAGGTGGCTCAATTGGTTGTCAAGGTGGAAAAGCAGTTGAAGCTTGGATCTGGGAGAAGGTTTGCTTCTGCTCCGAGACAGGGCAGTGCCCATGAAACTGCTCAGGCGAACAATCCAGCGCCAAATTGGCCGGCAATTCTGAAGCCAGTCAATCCACAATTGGGTCAGGATCGTTCTGGATGGTCAACTAGTAAGCTCGAGTGTTACAAGTGCCATGGCCAAGGGCACAAGGTATTTCCATTCCCCAATCCAAAAATGCTCATTCTTCGCGATGGCGAATACTACTTGAAGGACGAGGGGGAGGAGAAGAGTACTGATGATGACGTTATTGAAGATGAAGTCGACGAAAATATTGAGATGGAGCCTCACGGAGGAAGTCTACTGGTGAATAGATGGGCCGTCTTTTTCAAATCTAACAAGCAAACAAGCCCTAATTCTGCTTCCAAGAAGAAATTGAAGGTCTCCACTATAGGATTTACCCGAGAGAAACAAAATCCTTGTGAGCTAAGGATTATTAAGTCAAGCATATAGCTATTGTCAATCCTTGTCTAATTAAGAATCTCGGTTAGTTGAAAGAATACTTACGAATAAGGGATTTGAAATACAAATTCATCGAATCCATAGATTTAGGAGAAAGTTATGTTTTTTTCACTGCTTTTTGTATCTTTAATTTTTTATGAGATTTTTTCTCTTCTTTATCTCTTGTTTTTATTACTATCACTAAATACTTTTTATTACTATCACTAAATACCAAATTCTCAATATCTTTCGAGTCATTTAGATTCTTTTAGTTAAGGGTAAACGTACTTTTTGATAATAATAAAAAAAATATTTTATATGTTATCGAATGTTTAACAATCAGAGTTACCAAAAAATTCAAAAAAAAAAAAAATTCTACAATCCAAAGAGTTAAAATATTTGAATTGTTTATAATATAGATATTTAGACTTAAATTCTCCAAACGAGCACAAAATCAATTTAGACTATATTACATTCTCAATTACCAATGTCATAATTGACAGATCCAAATACAATTGGATTTGTTGAAATTTATAGTTTTACAAGACAATGAAACTTGCAATCTGCCCAAAGTCAATAATCAACCGCTGAATACGAAGAAAACAACGTTCGACCTCTCTCCTCACGAAATGATCAAACAACCGGACGGCACGTTACTCACTTGGTCATCAGCGTTCAAATATTCAGTGTTTTTACCAGCACACGGAATGCTCAAACAAGAAATTGAAATGAAGGAGCAAGCAGTCCAGATGAGATCTATAGTCCTAGTCTCGAATGAATGAATGAATGAATGAATAAATGGGTATGGACTTTTATATGGTTGCGTAGCCTACTGCAGTTTTTACTAAGCCAGTTTTACTACAGACAATGCTTCCATTCATGAATCGGTTCTGCCACGGAGTTGACAAATGCACACACACCCTCTCCCTATAAATTTGAAGTCTTGTTGCAAATGCAGTTGCTCAGCATACATTATTTCCCATTTGGGCCATACTTCCACTGACCTTTATGATTCGTTTGCTTGTTGTGGTTCTGCAACGTGACAGATGGACAAGGCAGCAAGCAGCCTTAGTTGGAGATCTTCGTGGGACCTTAATCTTGAGCTCTAAGGAGGTCTTGCAATTCTTATGCCAATCTATATATCAACAATTTTCACAAGTACCCATGGAATTCAAACCTTACCGAGCAAAAAAGTTGATAATCAGATTGATGATGGCATTGCAGCATTATCAGCAACTGGAATATTGCAGTAACATGCAACAAGCGAAACATTGGTCTTAGGTATAAGAAGAACACGAAACCAATCCCGCCAAGATAGAAAGAAAAAAAAGAACATAGCAAAGAAGAGGAAAGAAATGTAGCAAACTCAATCCTCGCGCCACATTCGTGAACACTTCTCATTCAGGCAAAAGTAAAATGTGGTTGCCGGCTCATCTGCTGATCGGATTTGCAGCTGCTGGTAACGGGCCTTCCCGAAATTACAGTGAGGACAGGTTGCTGCACCCAACAAACAAACAAGAGCATCAGAATTTGCAACCATCGATCGTCATCGAGTAATCATGTGTACAATCTTAATCAAGACCCTTAACGAACATCAATCCTGTTCTCCAATTTTCGATGGTGCATTGATTCAATTCCTAGTATTCTTTTCCACTTTCAACTTTACCAATATCGAAACAGAACCCAAAACTCGCGATACGATCAATGCCAACATAGACTCGATCGATCATTCATGTAACTAAGCGAGCAAGAAAAGGCGGCAAAAACCCTCACCTTCAGTTTCGGAGCCTCCCTTCATCATGTCTTCTAGGGTGAAAACAGGCTCAACTTCTTTCTTGACGAGCTGCAGCTTTCTCTTGATCTTAACCTGTGACAATCCAAACGAAACGGTTCATCGTAATGGGTTTTACCAATCAAACACTCTGTGCTAAAGATCGAACGAGTAATGACAAGTACGAAAAATACCCCGGTCTGAACTGAACAGACATATGGACACGTCCGGCAAAAGAATCTGGCGGGATGCCTCTCCGCCGGTAACTCGTACCGCAACAACGTTCCACAGGTTGGGCAAAATTCCATTCCCAGCTTCCTTCTTCGCAGGCGGCCGGCAAGCAAACTGGGAGAGAGGGAGGCGGAAGCAAGGGCTTTTCGATTAGGACGAACTGACTGAAGCGTTGGTTTGATTCGCTGCTTTAAAAGAAAAGTGTCTGTTTGCGTAGTGCGAAATATAGAAGCAGAAGCAGGGCGTTCTTAGGCCCAGAAAAGGCCCAGACCAATACCGAACCTAAACTAACTGGGCCCAAATCCTGGATTGGCATGAAATCAGAAAAGGAGAGGAATTGAAAATATTACCTAGCTCCTTGGATTCGATTCAAAACCGGCATCAAACGCTGGCAAACAAATCGGAACGCCCAATTACCCAGATTTTCCCTCTTCCAGCGGCGTTTCTTCGCCGCCGGCGACTCCCTCCTCTTATCGAAACCCTCTTATTAGTTTGGGGTCGTCGGAGCAGGATTTCGGTGTTTGGCAGCGATGTGATCGGAGAGAAATAGGATGAATCGAGAAACCGAGGAGGTTCTTTGTTCCGCAAGTTGTTTTTTGGGCGAAAAGGAAATCGGTAAAGAGAGCAAGAGAGAATAACGAGCAAGGGGGAATGAAAGAGAGAGCTGCGTTTTACTTTCTTTTCCTTTCAGTTCCTCTTCTACAGGGAACAAACGGGAGGAAGTGGGCGGAAAAGTTAATCTGCTAACTTGAAAATTCGTTAGCAGATACTAACTGATATCCAAAATACATGAACTAGTATCCAAGTACTAAAGTATCTAGAGATCACATACTAGTATTCAAAGTTTGCTAACTGATATCCACCACGAATCAACTATTATCTCAAATTCACAAACAAATATCTAGACAACACAGAATAGTATCCATACAACACATAATTAGTATCCACATAACACATAAAAGTATCCAAATAACACATAAGAGTATCAATATTGAATACTAGTTGGTTGATTGTGGATATTAGTTGGTATCTGCTATCTGGATATTAGTTTGTGATGTTTTGAATACTAGTCTGTGCTATCTAGATACTCAGCAAACTTGGATACATGTTCATACATTTTGGATATTAGTTAGTATATACTAACAACTTATGCAGTTAGCAGAATAACTAGGCTGGGAAGTGGGGGTCGGCTTAGGGCTCGGTCAGGCCAAGTTAACTTAAGTCGGGGTACTTTTGCTTTATGACTTTGAATTTGTTTTTTTTTTTTTTTTGCCAAAGATATTCCGGAAGGAATAGCAAGATACGAAAATATACAAGATCAAACGGTCAGGGAAAAGAAATAAGAGCAAAACGATGGTCAACCAGACGCTGAACCATCGATGCGAGGGCCTGTTTTGCCACGCAATGGGCAGCCCTGTTATACCTACGAGGAGCGAAATGAAAAGAAACACGCGCAAGAGAAGTCCGTAGCACCTGAACCTCATTCAGGATTGCCCCCCCCAAAGCGTGATTCGAATCCTTCGCGGCCACCATCCGGATAACGACCTGCGCATCACCACAAAACAGAACATTAGTTACGGAATGAGAAAGGCACCAACGCATGGCATCTCGAAGCGCCAATAGTTCAATAAGAAAAGGATCGCGAACTTCCGCGTAGGAACGCCCATAAGCAAAAGAGACAACATTCTGAGATGCGAAGCCAACAAAACCAATGGCACCCCCAAAGGATTCCTTAGTAGCTCCGTCAAAATGAACAAGCATGAATCCAGAAGGAATAGTAGGTGGAGTTGAGTTGCGGCAAGCAGTCAGTGATGGAAGATGCTGCCGGCGTCGTGCAGTCCCTGATTCTTGAGCTGAAAACCATTCCGCAGTTTGACAGTTAAACTGTCGCAGCAAAGAGATCGGGAGGAATTGGATGAGTTCATAAGTAGATGAGCATCTCCCTTTCCAGATCCTCCAGTACAAGAACACCAATCTCGTCACCTCGGCGCGAGATAAGCCTGCATCTAAAAGCAAAAACCTCCAACCTATTGCAACGTGAAGTGAGTGTAAGTGGTGTAATAAATGACCAAAACCTGCTAACTCCCACAATTCAGTCGCGATTCGACATTCCAAAAAGCAATGAGATAAGGTTTCATTAGGATGAGAACAAACAGGACATAGAAGTCCCTCACTATCATCTTCCTCGATGAGCTCTTTATCCCGAAGGACATCTCGCACAGGTAAGAAACCTTTAATTAGCCGCCATAGAAAAAATCGTAATTTAGGAGGAACAGAGAGGGCCCAAAGAGCTTTCCAAGCCCGAGAATCAAAGATAATAGGAGTAGTAGAAAGATTACGCACAAATTCAGAAGCTGCAACATGGTAACCAGTTTTAACAGAGTACTCACCTGAAGGTTCATAATGCCATATACATTTATCAGCCATAGGGAGTTGAGGAAGCGGGATCATAAGGATTACCTTAACTGTGGCAGCATCAAAAAGAGACTGCAGTAATTCCATTTTCCAAGATCCATTCGAGTGGTCAATGAGAGAGGAAACCTGTGTAGACGGCAGAACAGCATGGGGCAAAAGCTTGGGACAAGAAGGAGGCGTGGTGGGGAGCCAGCAATCATTAGTAATGTGGATTTGTGTGCCGGATCCAACTAGCCAGCGGAGACCTTGTAGCAAGAGATCACGCCCAAGTAGAACGCCTTGCCAGGCCCAGGATGGCCGAGCTCCTTGAACAGCCTGCAAAAATGAAGTCTGAGGAAAATATTTAGCTTTATATAGCACGGCTAGAGCACAATCCGGAGAATGGAGGATTCGCCATGCTTGTTTGGCTAGCAGAGCAATATTATTGCCGTCGAAGTCTCGAAATCCGAGTCCACCATGGATCTTGGGCCGACACAGCGATCGCCAGGATGCCCATTTCATACCTTCATCGCGATCTTGTTGAGCCCACCAGAACCTCGCCACATGACCATTAAGTCGTCTACAGGAAGTTGATGGTATGCGGAAACTAAGCATAGCATAGTTCGGCAAAACATTGGCAACGGACTTCAGGAGGATTTCTTTTGCAGCAAGAGAAAGAGCCTTGGATTTCCATTGGTGAAGTCGAGAGACTAGCTTATCTTCAATGAATTGAAAGGTAGCTTGTTTGGACCGAGCAATATGAGTAGGAAGTCCTAAATAGCGATCTTCTAACGTGCTTTCCGCTACTCCCAACAAATTGGTTATGGCTGCTGCATCATCAGAAGAAATATTTCTGCTAAAAGTGACTGATGACTTATGAAGATTGACTTTTTGCCCACTGACCTGTTGATAAGAGGCAAACAAAGAGAGGAAGTTATGACATTCCGGGATTGAAGCTTTGAGAAAAAGATAAGTGTCATCAGCGAAAAATAAATGCGATATCACCGGACATCGCCAATGCACTTTTATCCCATGAAGAAACTGAGCTTGGATTGCCTGGTCAATAAAATGAGAAAAACCTTCTGTATAGAGAGCAAAAAGCAGAGGAGATAGGGGATCTCCTTGGCGGATACCACGTTCCGGATGAAAGAAACCGTGCGGGCTGCCATTAATCAAGACCGAGAAAGAAACAGTAGTGACACATTTTTTAAGCCATTGTAACCATTGAGCACAAAAACCCAGACGTTGTAACAGAGAAAACAAAAATTCCCATTCAACCCGATCGTAAGCTTTCTCCATATCTAATTTTAAAGCCATCCACTTCTCTTGGCCAACAATTTTAGTTTTCAGGAAATGCAACACTTCCTGCCCGATAAGAATGTTATCAGAGATTAAACGACCCTTGACGAAACCATTTTGAAAGGGACTTACCACATGAGGGAGGATAGCAGCTAGGCGAGTAGAGAGAATCTTCGAAATCACCTTATAAAATACCTGACATAAGCCAATGGGTCGCATTTGCCTCATCGATTCTGCATTTGGGACTTTAGGTAATAAGGTGATCCAAGTGTGGTTAAAGTTAGGCAAAAGGTGGCTGGTGACAAAGAATTCCTGTACTGCAGCCACAACTAAATCTCCAACCAGACCCCAAAAAGATTGGAAGAAAATGCCGGTAAAACCGTCTGAACCAGGGGCCCGATATCCTCCTATACTGAAAACAGCAGAACGAATATCCTCGCGAGAAACAGAGGTAGTTAGGGAAGCATTCATATCGTTAGTAATCAAAACCGGCAGTCCCAAACAGTCTAAGAAGGATTGAACATTTGAGGATTCAGAAGTGAATTGGAGAATGAAATATTGAGTAGCTAACATACCTTTATCAGATTCCTCAGAGTGGAGAACACCATTTTCATCACGGATGGCAAGAATCCTATTCTTACGACGTCGCTGCAAGGTCGTAAGATGAAAAAACCGTGTATTGGAGTCTCCTTCCGTTAATTTGTTTACGCAGCCTTGCAGTGAGCACATAGCGAACTATTCTTTCGCCTTTTGAATTTGTTTACCGATGTGTGATCCATAATTTTTCTGAATCGCTAAATGTTGCCCTTAAAATTGCTAACGGTCGCCCTAACTCTAATGATAAATGACTTATATACCCCCAATAAAATTTCAAAATTTAAACAAACCAAACAATCCCTAACCCCTCAAACTGAATCTCTCATCTGCCTTCTTCGCGAATCCCTCTCGACACCAGTTCGTCGGCGTCTTTCCCGCCGTCGTCGTCGCCCGTTCTCTAACGAAATTTCCAAAAAAACGCTCAACCTAAGGCAAGTTACGGTTGGTCCATGGTGCAACCGCAACTCACTTGCGGTTGGTCCATGGTGCAACCGCAAGTGAGCTGCGGTTGGCCCATGGTGGAACCGCAAGTGAGCTGCGGTTGCACCATGGACCAACCGCAACTCATTTGCGGTTGCACCATGGACCAACCGCAACTCATTTGCGGTTGCACCATGGACCAACCGCAAGTAGGGATGTCAATCCAACCCGTAACCAAGGGTACCCTACCCGACCGTAACCGATCAACGAGGGTAATTACCCGCTTTGACGGGTTAAGGGGCGGGTATGGGTAATACCCGGTTTCAAAATAAGGGGTAGGGTAAGGGTACGATAATCGATAATACCCGCCCGTTATACCCGTCTCGTTAACCAAAGGGTCAATTTCCCTTGAGAAATTGAGTTTAACTACCATTATTGATGATGGAGATGTAGACGATTTTAAGGTGTGTTATACGATATATGCGAATTAGGTACAAAACAAGGTCACAAGTGTATCAAGGGAACATAAGACTGAAGATCGTGGCCTAGAAGTAACGATCACGGGCGAGATCCTGGACCGCGAAGACAAGCTGAAGATCACAGCCTGGAATCCCAAGATCGCGATCGCGAATTGGAGGGCTTAGGGCCTGAACTTCGCGAAGAAGGTGTCGAGGAGGAACGGAGAGTTTCCCCAGTCGAATCACGGCCACAATGCATTTTGGTCACGAAGACAGCCCGCAATCTCCTCAATCCTGAAGGCCAGTACGACTCCGTTTCAAGATTGCGGCCTCTCCTCTGAAGATCCCGCCTGTGATCTCTGCCCTTCTGGCCGCGAACTTGTCCGTTCTCAGATTGTCTATAAATAGGAGACCCCTCCCCCAGAGCTGATTTTGAGAGAAGAATTTGTGATTTTAAAGAGAGAAGAGAGAGAAGCTGAAAGAAGGAGAAGGAGCTAGAAGAGATGAGGCATCTTCCTCAACCTCAACTATGCTACCTGTACCAACCACGGTTAATCAGAACTCGACTTAGCGTAGATGAGAACCAAATGAAGGAGACTGGCTTGCACAGATCTGATCCCTTATACATATATATGTATTGGCATCGTAACACAACTTTCAACTTCCAACCAAGATACAAAGTTATGGATAAAGAATAGTATAACTACACAAAGTGGGGGGAAAAAAAACAGAAGAAACAATATTATAGCCACACCTTAACGAGTACGATGGAGCCGTAACAGGCTTGGAATCAGCACTTTCTGCACACCAATCAAGTTAAATCATACTACTATAACCATCTTCATCATACATGCTCATGTAACACATTATGGCTATCACAAATATGAAAAATGACGAAAGTTCCATTGCCAGTGCTCCCCACCCAATAATGCCAGCATGTTTCAAGATTGCAGGTATGGCAATGCTTCCTACTGTAGATGCTCCTGTGAAAAACTTGCTTGCGTTCACCCAGCTGTTCATTGTTCATCAGGAGTCGCAGGAAAAAATGTCGGTTAATCTCATGTTCAATATGCAAGCTCATATTGGCCAAACTCGGATTTGGAATCTCTTGACAACAGGGGATATGGAGCGTCACCTGCTATCAGATTCTTGAAAGATGGATTCTGAGCCAGCAAAGAACAGCAATGGCATTGGAAGAATCACATACATCACAACTGCAAGAACATAGGAAGTTAGAACACTGACTGTGTTGACCTTTCTAACTTTGAAGGAAGATAATCACTATGAGCCAATGATCATCAACGATCCACACAAACAGAAAGGGAACTGCGAATGGGGAGTTGCATATATAGGCATTGTCAGCATATACAATGGTGGTAGTTTGAGGAATGTGAACCAACGATGGCAGCAGATAAGGAATTCACCATACTAGGCAACCAATATAGCATCTGAGCGGACAACAACAGGGTTTGTTATCTTAAGATAGTCCAAAGACTGGACAACAGCCTATATTAGGGGGTTCATAAATTGTGAAAACCAATCCATGTACTCTTAGCATCCAGTAGGCAAAGAGAGACAATGATTCCTGCAACTCCTTCAGCGAAATACATTTTCGTTGATAATTCTTCTACCATTGACTGCCAGACATAATCGACGGAAAAGAGAAATAGGCAAAAGAAGAAGCTCTCAAGTCATAGAAAAAAGACATTTGTAGTATCAGCTTGCAGGGACAAGAGGCTAACCAATCAAATTAAATGCACGACAGATTGGTCATGTTGTTCATCAGCTGAGGAGGTAATTCAAGCAAAATCCTATTCAATTGGAAAGTAATCACTTACCAGTTAGCATCGGCCACCAATTATTGTACAGAGCACACGCCTGAAAATGCCAAAATGATGATAGACGAGCAATGGTTACCTCAACACTCAAAAGCATTTGGTTAAGGAACCCATTATGCAAATTTCAAAGGTAATCAACATCTGAGAGAACTACTACTGACCAGGACTTGGAGCACAATTCCCCCAGAAACGAGAATAGCCAGCATAGCAAGGTGACCAGTTTGCAAGCAAGAACGCACGTAACCTGGTAAGTCCGCCATCACTGGACTCGAGTTGCCTCAACTCATATACCGGATCAGAGCAGCTGATATGATGATAGAACCGTATAAGCAGCGGCAATCCTAACAAAATTTGTGATGGGTTAACCACGATTACTGCGTAAACACTAAACACCAAATGAAACGGAAGAAATGGAATAGAGCTTCTGTGTAATTCGTGAATCTAAAGCGATTAATCAACAACCAATATGTTCAAAGAGAAGAAAAGGGGGAGAATAAAGAGAAGGAAACTTCTCCAAGCAACGGGTTTCTCAGTTCTCACCAACCGCCGTACGATAGCCAGATCACCGCCGATCGTCCGGCGTGAAATTTTCAATTGCCTCACGATCCAAAATCAACCAGCCCCTGGTCCAAGATCGCTTGCCGCTGGCAAACCCCTCGCGCCAGGTTAGGGTGGTTGAGCTGAACTACCTTCTCTTCCTTCTGATTTTTTTTTTTTTTGGGTAAATTGCAAGTTTGCTCATCGGTTTATTGAATTGTTACAAGTTTGGTACTAAATATTTTTTTATTTATTTGTGATCACTGAGATTAGTTAATAGTAGGGGTGATAAACATTTGTCATTAGCCGGTTAAGCGCACAACCGAACCAAGAATTTTGGTTGGTCGGCTATTAGATGCGACTTCGGTGTCGGTTGGGGATTTAGAGTGATTAGGCTAACCTATCAGTCTTCGGTTAGTAACTGAAAACCCGACAGTGCATCGATGCTAACCAATCAAGTTGGTGATGGCAAATATAATTAGCGGTTACGTATACCCGATCAACTAATCCGACACACTCGATCTTGATTTTGGCTAACCAACAGTCCCAAGTAGTGGCGGTCACGATTGGCAGTTGCTGGCCCCAAATTGGTGGTGGTTAACCGACATATCGGTGCGGTTAAACCAAGGTTGTCAACCCACGGGTCGACCCACTTTGACCCTGATCCAGTGAGAATAACGGGTCGCACGCACCCGTTGGGTCGACCGCTACAAGATATCAGGTTGGAGGTCAAATTGTGTCATTTTTTTCTTTGGTTTATGAAATGCGCCTATTTTTTCGATTTTTCTTTTCACCTAACTCAATCTTTGGAATTCTTAGTTGAACATTTGAATATTGATGTTATATAAGTGTGTTTCAATTTTCACTAGAGGTGGCAATTCTCAATCCAATCCATCAATCCATTAAAAATATTCACATAATCCAATCTATTTAAATTCAATCCATCTGATCCAAATCCAATTGGATTGGTGGATTAATGGATCAAACCATGGATCCAAATGACAAATTACAATTTGGTACCTATAATTTTTATATTATATATTTTGGTACCTAAAATTTAATTTTTATACGAAAAATTACATTGAAAAATAACATTTTGGTACCTAAACTTTTTCATTATGATATTTTAGTACCTAAACTTTTCACATTTTACATATTGGTCCTTGGTTGAGGATGTCATTTGGATTCATGGATAATCCACCAATCCATTGGATTCAATCTATTTGATCCATTGATCCACCAATCCATGGATCCAATCCATTTGCCACCTCTAATTTTCACTATATGTTGGATCTACGTACAACATGTTACTTTGGTGTTATGTTATATGTTATTACTCATATGTTAGATGAGATTTGATATAATTTATTAGAATAAGTACAATATAATGACTATTTACATATTTCGCTGCTAAAACAGGTGACCCGTTAACTCTTCACCCACTAACTTGACCGGGTCCGGGTCAACTCGCGGGTTGACAACCTTGAATTAAACTAAAACCTCACCAATTATTAGCCTTATCCAATAGTTCAAATTTTGGTCAATAGTCATCGCCTTCCGCTAGTCTTCGTTACCGCAGTTATTTTTTTTAAGTAGATCAAAGTTCAACCAATTGAATCGAGATCAACTCAACTTTAACTCGAATGTGTAAAACAATCCCTGACCCTGCATTCGTATCTGAAACCACCTTTAAATGCAAATCTGCCATATATCTAACTCTGCGATAATGATAACAGATATTTTCCCTCTGCATTAGTGGCAACCAATTTGCCATGTCTCATAAAAAAAAATTGATCATCCGCTGCCGACATTTTATTCCAAGAAAAAAAAAAAGGACTGCTGCCGACATGAAAAGGTAGTTTATAGGCTAGCTGTACTTTGTAATGTGTACCTCTCACATTTGTCCCGGTTGGAAACTTTGAAATTTAATTAATGCTTTCCACGCACTTATAAATCATGTATGTTGTTTTGAGAAATGGTTGAAAAATTCATTAAGCAAATATCATTTCGATAAAGAATGAGAGACATCTATGTAGTGGCGGAGCCAGAAAATTGATCAAGAGAGTGTCTTTATCATATCATAAAAGATCACTTATACAATAGAAAAGTCAACTTTAAATGAAACAAAAAGTCAACAAAGCAATACTCTAAATTCATACAATTACATTAAAATAGTTTCACGTACACCGGTTACAACGTCAAACAAATAAGTTCAGTACATACAAGTCAAGACTTTCATTCATCAAATATTACAAATTAGAACTCAGAAGTACCTTGGAATTGATTTTGTGAAACAAACAAGTGAACTTCAATTGGTACTTCTTCACTTTCGGCTATGTTTAACAAAAGACAAGAAATTTCTCTGTTGTAGAGCCACAAAAATAATGAGTGAGTTTAAACAAAAGACAACAATCTATTACTATAAATAAAGACGAAAGTGCATTGCATAACAAAACTCACTAGGTCAAGATGGTAAGAAATTCTTCCTGCAATTGAATAATCACTGGTTCGAATTTGTATACTCATACTCGGGATTTTTTTCTCCAAACCCAAGGGGGCGCAAGCACCCCCCTCCTCTCCAAGTGGGTCCGCCACTGCATCTATCGTTTATAAGTAAGAAACCGGTCTTAAACTCTTAATCGACAAGACGCGTTTTGGAGTGAAATGCATGAATTCTTGTGAGCACGCTGAAGTTAAACGTGCACAGTATGAAGTACAACAATAAGTAAGAAACCAGCTTTCACCGACAAAAAAGTATTTTGGAGTGAAATGCATGAGTTTTTATGAGAACTCTGAAGTTAAGCGTGCACAATGTGAAATACAAAAACCACGAGAATCAAGATCCAAAGTGAACAATATCTTGCTCGAAAAAAGTTCCTCGATGTTACAGAATCTACATGCAAATAATAATAATAATAATAAAATCCTTCTTAATCATTAGTACAAAAAAAAAATTATTTTAATCAAAACCCTCGTCTTCTACACCACCAACAGATCATACCAGTGCTGTGGAGCATTAACATTGGTTTCCTGTTGGTAGGGACGATGGACGGCCCCACCCCCACGACCCTCTCTTTCCCAAATTCTGGAATTGCGTCGATGGGAATCGATTAAATGGCGATCGCAACGCTTTTTCTTACGCGATCCACTCCTCGAAAACCCTGGCTGGTTTACGCATTGCCATCGACATTGATGATTGGTTGTCTTGAATAGCAGCTGAGGACGAGAGGGAGCAAAAAAGGGTTGAGGAAGGAGATGTTGAATTGCAAGTGTTTCCAGCGAAATAATTTGCCGAATTATTCGGCCTATGAACCTGATACTTTCTCTCTTCCTGATCCTCTACCCAGTTGGCCTCCAGGTAAACTACCCTCTATCCTTCTCACTTGTTTCTTCTTTGCTTGATCAGTCTTTCTCTGTTTTTTTTTTTTATGAAATTCCGGTACAGTCTCTTGAGAGCTACACTTCACCTTTCATTTTTCAGTTGATTGCCGTTTCTGGGTTTTAATTGTGTGTTGATTGCCGTTTCTGGGTTGTAGTTGTGAGTGGCATTGATCTTAAGGGTTTAGTGAGAGTTCTGTTGTGGCTGCCTCTATCTAGGACAGCCCTGTTTTACCATGTGACAGACAGTGGTGCATCAAAATGCATCGCTAGTGGAGTGGTGCATTTTTATCAATGATGAAAGGAATGCTGACAAAGATGATACTTCTGGAACCTTGCTTCTGTCAGATTTTGCATGATTTTAACTCAAAACTGAATCTTTGTTAGTGAGCTATTGAAATGGTTGTGAACAAGCCATTGCATGAAATGGACTGAATATTGGGATTTCTTTGTCTGAGCTTCTTTTCCAATTCTGTGCATGATGCTGGTTGCATAACTCGACCATTTTGGGTTCGTTTCATTCACTTGATTTTGGGAGTTTTAAGTTTACATTCTTTATGTTTTGCCATCTATGCCGCCGTATTCCTCAATGTTAAGAGATGCAGTACAACTTCAATGAGTGGTTTCATCCAGCTCTGCCTCTATCTGTCCCCTTTTGTTGTTAGACTTTCATTTGTTCAGAAAGGCCACTCAATACCCATTCTGTTAGGTGCTTTCATTGTCATTTTCTCCTTTCTTGTACCTAGAATCATCGTAATTGGTTGCTTCCCCTTGAAGTTGGGGCGTCTCTTTTACTTAACATGGTTGTCTTTTCCTTATTTTGTCACAGGTCAAGGGTTTGCTTGTGGAAGAATAGGTCTATCAGAAATTGAAGTTGTTAAAATCTCCAAGTTCCGCTTCATATGGGGCTATGGGTTCTCACAAGATAGGAAGAAAGGTGTTTCGTTCTATAAACCCATGGGAGTTCCTCGTGGGTTCTACTGCCTCGGGCACTATTGTCAAGCTAATAAACATCCCATAACAGGTTTTCTTCTAGTGGCTAGGGAGGTGGCTTCTACTCGACAAGAAGTTACGAACGGTAGAAATCATGGTGACTTACCTGCTCTTGCGAGGCCTGTCGATTATACTTTGGTTTGGACTGCAGATGACCAACATGGAGAGGTCTATGAAGGGTGCGGCTTTTTTTGGTTACCCGTACCACCTGAGGGCTATAAACCTATGGGATTCTTGGTTACTAGCAACTCCGACAGACCACAATTGGATGAAGTTAGATGTGTTCGCTCAGATTTGACAGATGAATGTGAAACATATCGACGAATCCTTGATGTGTATTCTACATTCCTGAACTTCCCATTTGGAGTTTGGAGCATAAGACCTTGTGATCGAGGAATGAAAGGAAGAGGAGTCCCAGTGGGTACTTTCTTTTGCAGCAGCCACTGGAAACCGGGTGAGGAGTTGAATATTGCATGCTTAAAGAATCTAGATTCCAGATTGCATGCCATGCCAAATCTTGAACAGATACATGCCATTGTTCAACATTATGGCCCTAGAGTTTACTTTCATCCTGATGAAGTATATCTACCATCATCGGTTTCATGGTTTTTCGAAAAAGGAGCAGTTTTGTGTAAAGCAGATAATTCTGATCGTGTTCGCATAGATATCGACGGGTCTAATTTGCCTGGAGGTGGCATGAATGATGGGGCATTTTGGATAGATTTGCCATCTGGTGAACAAAGAGATTCTCTAGTACATGGAAATTTAGAGAGTGCTAAACTTTATGTTCATGTGAAACCTGCTTTCGGAGGGACATTTAGCGATATGGCGATGTGGGTTTTCTGCCCCTTCAATGGACCAGCAACACTTAAGCTTGGACCTCTTAGCTTCTCTTTAAGCAAGATAGGACAGCATGTTGGTGACTGGGAACATTTCACTCTTCGTGTATGCAACTTCACTGGTGAGCTTTGGGGTGTCTACTTCTCTCAGCACAGTGGTGGTGAATGGGTTAGTGCTTGTGATCTAGAGTACACGGAAGGCAACAAACCGATTGTTTACTCTTCAAGAAATGGGCATGCAAGTTATCCTCACCCTTGTACCTACATCCAAGGGTCTGCAAAACTTGGGATTGGAATAAGGAACGATGCAATCCGTAGCGACAAATACATAAGTTCAAGCGCTCGATACGAGGTTGTCGCGGCAGAGTACTTGGGAGATGATGTGGTCGTCGAGCCTTGTTGGTTGCAGTTCATGAGGAAGTGGGGTCCAAGACTTGTCTATGATTCAAGAGCTGAGCTTGAGAAAATAATTAAACGGTTTCCCTTGAGGATGAGATACTCAATCGAGGGCATATTTGCCAAACTCCCAATGGAGTTATCTGGGGAGGATGGCCCAACAGGGCCGAAGGAAAAGAACAACTGGGTTGGAGATGAGAGGTGGTGAGCATGTATTTGTCTGAGATTTTTGTTTCATAGGTTTTTTGGATAGTGATTAATCAAAGGTTTAGAATGTACATAGAACCTATGAAGAATTTGTATACATTGATGGGTTTCTTCTTTAAGTTAGTAGTTTGTAATAGAAGGATATACAAAATTCATCATTAAAAAGATGTGCTGAAAGTGCAAAAACTATTCAAAATTAAGCGCACTACAAATTCATTAGGTAAGCAATGAAACTATATTTAGATTGCCAAAAATTTGTTGAGATGTTAAGACCAAATATGTAACTAATTTTACAATTTTATTAATGTGGATGCTCTAATCTCACCGAAAAGGCACCTGATAGCTTTTTGTGCCACAGAAAACAGTGGATTGTGGGCAAATACATTTACTGAATTGTGCGAGTAAAAACTAATCAACAACTTAAGGTATAGAAAGAATCTCCCACTTGAATTAGATTAATGGAAAAAATGTACTCAAAGGGGGAGATAATATCATGCATCTCAAACACCGCCATCAACCAAAAACAGAGCAACACTCGGGGTACTATTTAAAAGCAAGTAAAAGAGTTTCTAAGGAATCCCACACAAACAAAGATTGACCACATACACCACAGCCTCTGCCAAGACAAAAAGACAAGACCAAAAAAAAAACATGGGTTTCAGCCGGTGTATATGATTGTGAAACAAACTGTTCCAATCAGGAAACGGAGCAACTCAAGAGCAGAGCTTCAGATTCTAGCTAGGCCAAACCATCCCATCTCATCCCACTTCCGGTTCATCGCGACACGCGCTGCGAGTAACCATTGCCCCTTGATCTATTGCTATTGTTGTTGTATTCGCCATCTTGGGTACCTGCTCTGCCCAAACCACGGCCGCCAGCACCACCGTAGCGGCCCCTCGGGGTATCGGTCATGGGGTACCCACCTCTGCCCCTTCCCCTTCCTCCTAAGAAATCAACCAGACAAGAGAGATGGAGAGTCAGTTCCTGCCATTGCTGTCACAAGCATTGCACTCTAATACTCTTCCCAAATATAGTACAGTTGGAGCAGAAGATTGATAAAAATCACAATGGACATACACCCCACTCACAAGTCACAACACAAATAAAAGAAGTATAATATACAGTCTACTGCCAACCTCCAACACCCTATCGTAGTAGGCATAGATGCAGTCATTCACCAAAATATGACAGAAATTGAATACACTAATAAACGATACATACTTCCACCACGAGCGCCAATGCCCCCAGCAGTTGGTCTCCGTTCCTCGATGTAGACTTGTCTCCCAGCCAGTTGTATGGGAGATGACTGCAAGGAGAAAGTAACATTAGGGTAATCCTTGATCACATCATAAATTGAAGAAACAAAACAATAAGATATTGTCAACATGGTCACAAGACAATGAATTGAAGAATATTCAGGATAGCAAGCTGAACCAAATAAGAAGTAAAAACATAACAAGAAGTTCAATCTAGATAATATACGAACCTTTATTGCGTTTTGAACACTCGCAAGGTCTTCAAACTCGACGAAAGCATAACACACACCAATTACGTCCTAGAAAAGAGTAAAACACTTTATCTCAGATCACTTACAAAGAATGGTATCATCCATCTAGTGCCAACGAATAAGAAAATAAACTTACTTTTCGGTTCCTGACGAAGACACCATCAGGCCTGATTCTACCAAAGTTTCTGAACTCCTGTTCGATTTCTGCAGCACTAATATCAGAAGGCAAGTTGCGCACATAAACAGATTTAGGTTCACCTGAAAAAAGAGAATCACAAACCATGTTATTCAGAAAGTAATTATTCACTATACACAGAAAAAAGAGACTCCAAACTACAATATTTAAAGAACACAACAAGCATAAGTTTGCTACAATGTCCACAATGCCAGCATGAACCAGTCACAGAAAGTAAGCAAGGGAAAAATTCACCTTCATCAAGTTCCAAACCGTCATCTGCTTTATCATTTGCAGCCTCGGGCACAACTGACAACCCTGCGCCTGACTGCTGGGCATTGGGCACCGACACATGATTCCAATCAGAAGAAGCTGGGGCACTCTTAGTAACAGGTTGCTGAGCAGCTACTGATGAAAATGGCCCCTTGGCAACTCTTAGCTGCGATTTATTCAAAGTTTTATAAGATAGCTATTATGCATGCAGCAGGTAATAAAAAAAAAGTAATAAGTAGTAACCCTAAAGTTTATGCAGCAAGTAATGTTGCCATAAGTTTCTGACAAAAAATGCTAAGATAGCAATGCTCTAGAGACCGATCAGACAGAACGAAGAGTAGCTAAAAAGGAAGATGAACAGGACAGAAGGAGGTGCATACAATAGATGCATAAGTTTTCTTTTGTGGTTCTCCCTCAGCTTCCTCCACTGCAGATGCTGAAGGTTCGTGCACAACTTCCACAGCACCCTGGTATGGTGTCTCCTCCTCAACTGTTTCATCCACAGGGATATCATCCTCGAAGTCTTGATGTTGAAGTTCTGGAATGCTGTACTTGTCAACTGGAGTATCTTCTATGTGAACCGAATTCACATAATCTCTAGCTTCTTCCTCCAAGGCGTAGTCAGACACTGCTGGGACAGGGACTACGATAAATTAATAACTGAATAATGTTTTCCACCCTCAAGAATGTTAACTAGATACCGAGACTTGGTTCCACATACTAATGCGCTCTCGGTAAATCAACTTCGAATCAATCATAGCCAACACAAAAAAAAAATCAATTACAAATCCGTCTAAACAGAATAGAAAAACCAAGCGTAGATGCAGATAACGGAAAATGAACACATTTTTAAGACTTTAAATGCCGTAACTCTCACTGCAAATATACTCACTATCCAGAACGAGATGAAATTCATCTAACTTGCTTGAAGTATAATAACACATTACCTGGGTGCTCAAGGAGACTAGCAGAAGCATTTTGATGAGGATCAAAAGTATCCTCTGATATGTGTTGCTGATAAATTGACTCAGGAGCCGCTGAATCTGGATGCTGGTGGTAGATGTGTTCAGTTGTGCTAGGGGCTGAGTGCTGCTGGTAGATGTGTTCAGCGGTGCTAGGGGCTGAGTGCTGTTGGTAGATGTTTTCAGGTGTAGTAGAAACAGGATGCTGCTGGTAGATGATTTCACTATCAATGAACTGGAAAATATCATTGAGAACGAAATAACCCTTGTCCTGAGGAGCCAGGAAAAAAGTCTGCACAAACTTCTTCCTGCCGCTGAATTCCTTGGTTTTAACGGAGCCAGAAACCATCACCATAACACCTCCATTCCAAGAGTCGAGAGAATTGATGGTCTTGATCTCTATGGCGGTGAAATTCAGGGACATGATAATATTATGGATATGCTGCAGACAAAACAGAAACTTGGTAAATATTAATGTTGGCAGTAAACTAGGTTGCTAGCAGGATGTATGAACTATAAAGTCAATACAAAGGAAAATGAGGAAGGGGGAAACGCACTCTTGACAAGTGCAATATACCACACGCCAACTATTTACTATCAGCACCAAGAGATTCAGAATGAATATCAGGTACTAATATTAGATAATGATGAAAACAAATCATCAATCCACGGGGCAGCGCTTAAAAAAAAAAAGAGAAGGCATTGTGCTTTTTGCTAAACTGCTGTGAAGCTAGCAAGAGTGAGATAAGGAGCAAGAGGGCAGTACCAGCATTGTCGAGGCAGTCTCGCTGTCATCTCCCTCTACGCGGATCATGGTACTGGCTTCGGAGTAGAACTGATAAACGAGATCGGGCTTCTGCTGAAGCACTTGGTAGTACTGACCAACAAAGTACGACCCCACCTGGAGAGAAGAAGAAGAAGAAAAAGGAAAGCGAAAACAGAGACAAGAATGAGATCCCTAATCACCATCGCCAAGCCAGAGAAACAACAATCATCTTATGGTAATAGATACCCACAAGCTAAAAACCAACCCACCCACAAAACACATCCAAACAGAATCAACCCATCTCCCAATCTGCACTCTAACAACGCGCACTTGATCATTCCCATCTAGTATCCAACGAAGGCATGGAGAAACCAAATCACCTGAATAGCAGAGACGGGTCCCGGGTACGGAGCGGCCATAGCTATAGCGGTGTGGCTGCTGCTCCTCCTCCACCAACAAAAAGCGAGAGAGAACGAAACCAAGAATCCGAATCAAGAATCCCGGCTCGCTGGTAGATCGGAAGAGATCGGTAGATAAGGTGGAGAAGTCGGGAGAGGTGCGGCGCCCGTCAAACCAGAAAACCCTCCTTAGGGTTTATTGCGGTACTTATATATTTATATATACGTGAAAAAAAAGGAGCCGCGCGAGGGGTTTTGCGACAAGAAAGAAATTAATTAAAAAAAATAACGAACAAAGGACAGACAGAAAGTCGACGGACGGACGGAGCTCGAGTAAGCACCACCGTGGCGGAGAGTAGGAACGCGGCGGCGGGAGGGGATACGGGAAAGGAGGAGATCAGATCTAAGCAGGCGACGCAGAGAAAAAGAGAGAGAGCTGAGGCTTTTCAGTCTTCACCAAGTCCCAAAACGAGAAAGAGAGAGGGCTTTTCCTCTTTGCTTTCCTTTTTTCCTTCCCTCCTAAACCCCAAAGCCGCTCCACTGTTATCCTCAACCGTTCTGATTTGGTAATTGCGCAGGAGTACACGCTACGCGCGACCGCACCGGAACACACTCTCTGACATCAGAGCCGTCACTTTTTTTCCGGATTCCGGTGACGATCGGTTTTAGGGTTTAAAGCCGGGGGACTGACGGCTGGCTGACGCCGTAACGGTCGTCTCAGCAAGACAGAGAGTATTCTGTTACTTTGACTCGCTTAGCCTGACAGTATTGCGCCACGTCGGACTGTCACTTGCGTCAGTTGACAGATACATGGGCACTGTATCAAAATCTATGGCCCCGGGCATTTAGTTTCCCGTTGGCCGTTTCAGAGGTCAAAGCCTTACCTAACTCAATTCCTTTGGCATTTGTTGTTGTTTTTTTTTTCCCCTCGTGTTTTGAAACTTCCCTTCCCTTGAAATTTGTTGAAATTGCAAGATAAATGAAAAGTGGTGTTTGTTAGGAGTGAAAGCTTTGATCCGGAAAACCCACTAACCGTCCCGACCCATCCCGTTCCTAAGGGTCGGGATTGATCTGTTTGTCTACAGGATCAGATTAGGGACGGGTCATTTGTTGACCCTATAAGGGTAGGGACGGGTAGGGACAACTTAGAGACGCGGGTCACGTTTTGACCTTGTAACCCTTAGTAACAACATTGCCTCCTTTTCATGTTTGTCTATTACTCTTCATCTTTCTCTCCCCATTTTAGTTGATGTCATTCCCTCCCTCCCAGCATTGCCTCCTACTCTCCTAAATGCCAACAACGACCACCAACTAGGCTCTTCTTCTCTCTCATGCGGCAACGACGACTATCACGTCTCTCTCTCTCTCTCTCTCTCTTTCTCTCTCTCGAACACCTTCATCGAAGTCCAAGGATGATTTTTGGGTGTGGTGGCAAGGCCATTGTCTCTCCTCCTTCGGTCGCTTTTGCTTCTGTTGATCTAGCTCGCCCTCTCTCCTTCCTCTGGATATCGCCGACCCTTAGCAAATTCTCAAAAACTCTCACCTCTATCTCTCTCCCTCGGTTAGAGACAGATTAGGAATAATCTTATATTTTCTTGTCCTTTTAGTATAGTTCTTAGTATTTCTGTGTTCTTCTAGTATTATAATTATTGTGGTTCTCTTACTTATTGTACAAGTCTTGTAATTATATAAATCATTTAGTGGTTTCATAATAATACAAGTTACAAGTTACTATTCATAAAACTCCTATATGGAGGTATTAGAGAGTTTAGCTTAACCGCCTTGATTCAGAAACCTGTAACTTTTTTTTCTTTTCTGGTCCCGAAAAGATGAGCGCTAACTCACCGAGTTTTGTCCTCCTCTAAGGGGTGGGCAACGGGAAACGGGTATTTGGGTATACCCGTACCCGTCCCGTTTTTTAAGGGTTACGGGTACCCATATTACCCGTAATATTATAAACGGATGGGACTTGGGATTGTACATTCCTAATATGGGTACCCGCGGGTTACCCGCGAATACCCGTTCGGGTAATATGGGTACCCGTTATACCCATTCAATACAAATGCAGAAATTTAATTCAACCCAACCCAATTCAAAACCCATTGGCAATTTCGGCCTACCCTTTCAATATCAATTCCATTTGGGCCCTTACCATTTCACTCTTTCACTGACATGTTTGGTGAATTAGTAGAGAGAGTTGGGATGTGTTGAATGAAACTTTTTTTTTTATAATTTGGTACTTGGAATGATTTATTTCTATGTGTTGTGATTGTTCATGAATGTGTAATTTGCAAACCAAGTATTTGTGATTGTGATGTATTTTGTGTCTTGTGATTGTTAAGCAAATACAAGTTAAGTTTAAACTTTTGTTGAAATTTTAGTTGTTTAAACTTTGGGTATTTATGGGTAGTATGGGTACCCGTTATCCGTCCCGTACGGGTAATGGGTACCCGTTTCCCATATGAGTTTGGGATATGGGATGGACTTTGGTCTCCAAATGGGACTGGGTACCCGTTTAAAACGGGACGGGTATCCCGTCCCGTCCCGTTGCCCACCCCTACCTCTAAACACATCAAACCCCCTACATCCCTTCCTCGCTTCAGCTTTAATCCCTGTCTTCTATGTTTATTATCTTGCTATGTGTTCATTTTATTCAATTAAGAGAAATAAACCCTAATCCCTTGCCGCTTCCCACCTTCTTTTGTCCTCCGTAAGATCCCTAAGGTGATTATAGGCAAAGACAACAAAAAAAAAACACCCTTTTTAACTCCTCTAGAATAAAAATTCACAATATCAATGATATGAGGTTTATGGATGTTGCAGATGACATAATTGTATAACAAATATATTTACTTTTTGAGCATCTTCATAACAACAATAGCAACAAAGTTTATCCATCACAAGACAAATATAGGATAGAAACAAGAAAACTTAGAATTTGAAGGAAATATGAAAGTCTCTATAATGCAAGTCACATATAAGAAATAAATATGCGAAACATTTTCAAATCTACGGGAGAACAATAAGGTCGATCATTTTGTCTGTTTTGGTTCTAAAATACAAATTTATACTTTCAAATTTTTATTTTTTTAGAAAACATGCAATTTTTCATTTAAAATATTTTTATGTAATATTAGAAATCTAAAAATACTCAATTTAATTATTTTAATTAATTATTTTTCTATTTATATTTATATATATAATTTTCAATAATTTTATATAACCTCTAATAATTTTCAGCCAAACGGTACTTACTTTTCTTCAACCGTACACTAAAAACTCTAGCAAAAAACAAGGTTAACCTAGCCACAATCTTTGATAGGATTTTCCCTCAATAAGGTCGTTCCCACGGAGAGAGAATCTCCCCAGTCACGGCACGCAACATAGCTTGATCGAAGACTTAACTCATGTTAATTTTACCCAAATTCAAGTAACCCCATTACTTATGACTTATGAGTAGGATATGGGTGAAGTATATATTGAGTTAGCAGTTTTGTAAACGAGTTTGGGTAGGGTATGGATACTGCTTCCATACACTAAATAAGCATTGGTAATGGTAAGGTATGAATATACATTTATTGGAGGTTGTTTCTATTACACAAAATAAAATTTTCCCAATTTGTAAAATTTAAAAAGTTTAGGTTTGAAAATGTAATACACAAAAAAAAGTTGATGCTAAAATGTAATTTTACCATCAATACTTTTAGGACTCATAAAAAAATATTAATTTGTCTATTAAATCAAACATATATTAGGTTTTAAGTACCAAACTATAATTTGCATATAGATGGTTGAATTGAATGAGTACAAATCAAAATTTATGGATTAAAAATTCTATCCAACTCGAATAAGTGTACCTATCAACATACATCTACCCATCTATTTACCACTCACCACGTAATTGAGTTAGGATAGTAAAATACCGTATGGATTCGGCAGAATTGCCAACCAGGGATGGGATCAATGAACAGCAGAGGACCGCATAGGGTAATAAAACCAACAAAACAAGGCCGAGCTCTTTAAAATAAAAAAAAATTCAAAACACATGTGAAAGTATACCAGCTACGAACTGAATACTCTACAACTGATGAGATTTGGTCATATTTCTCGCCTTTCCTAGGCCTCTCTCTTTCTGTATCTGAGCTACACTCTCCCCGGTCACTAGTTCAAAAACTCCCCTCCAGCCCCCACTGTTACATTAAATTCAATGACAAGAGGGGAGTTCAAAAAAAGCCAATCAGCAGCTGCTTCAGTAGTAACTCCCATAATAGGGCTGTGGAACTGCAGCTGGCTGCTGAGCCGGTGCTAACGCTGCTGCCCCGGCCGGTTGAGCATAGGTCTGCTGAGGAAACGCGGCTGCTGCTGCTGCTGCCGCTGCCTGCTGCGGCTGCTGAAACACCCCCGAAAAAAATTACAAGAGATGTTAGATAATGCGAAGCTAGAGAACAGCAACAATATAGGTAGGTAAACTTTCTTTCTTCTTTACCTGGGGAGGATAGGTAGGAGGATAAGCACCGTATGCAGCAGTTGGCGCAACAGATGTGGGCACCTGCGAAGCCGGGTAGCTGCCTCCATACGCTGCTCCGCCATATGCACCATAGGCAGGCTGCCACAACAACAACAACAAAAACACATGGTTATTACTTCCCCACAAAAAGTTTTGGATGCAAGACAGCCTACAAGGATCAAATCTTCTAAGAGGGCATCCGGAGGGGCTGAAAATAGTATGTCAAATACCAACATCCAAATTAACTTGCAGAAATGTTAGTTTGATCATTGATACGTAAGAGCATATACGAACAATCAAGGAGCAATGTTCATAGGAAGGAGAGGAATCAGGCATGCAGTGAGATCAAATTACTAAAATTATTCCAGCAGTTAAAAAAGTATGGCATATAGAAACACCAAGAACAAAAAGAAGGAAACTTACTTGTGTATAGCCTGGTCCCCACTGTTGAACCTGTGGCTGTGCCTGGGTAGCCGGAGGCCAACCTTGAGGTTGTACACCATAACCAGCTGGCCACTGGGTTTGTTGTGCGTTTGGGTATGCACCCATCACAGATTGTGCAGGTGAAGCAGAATCAGTGTAAGATTTTGCGACTTTGCTCTTATCCGAGGACAAGTAATCCTCAGCATGACGCTTCTTCAACTCTGATTTGCTCCTATGGGGCAAAAAGAGCTTAGCATGACGGTCTTCAGCCTTCTTGATTGATTGTACATCCCCAAATACACTTAAGAACTGTAGGGAAAAAATGTCAGTAATGAGAAATCCAAGAGAACAACACAATTGTTTCCGTCAATGGAAAGTATCAGCACATTTGACTCGAACCGCACAGAGGAGATATATGCGAGCACATTGTGGACTCAAAACTCAACCTGTGCCAGATAAGAAAATTAAGACAAGGAATTACATCACCTCTAGGAAAATGCACGATAGCTCTTCCCTCTCCACAGGGCTTGCAGTACTATCAGAACTAGGTGCAATGAACTTGTCAACCAAGGAATCTAAGTAGTTAATTCGTTTTGGAAGGGACATAATTGACTCCAGATGTATAAGCGCCTGTATTTTAAACAAAAAGGATGACCATCAGTTAATGTCAAGAATGATGCACTGTCCAGGGAGAACTATTACACAACTAAAACAACCCAGTTGATATATAGAGAATCTCCAAGTGCATGTAGAGGTCAAAAAGAGTGTTGGGAGAGCAAACCTCAAGTAGGGGTTTGGAAAATGGGACATGATCGAGAGCTGTAACTAGAATTTCCCTTGCTTTCTCCGCATTTCCAGAAGCCTAGCAAGAAGATTGCATGGAAAATAAATATCCATACAGAATAGCACCATGACAGAAATTATACTAACAACCAGAATTAGCTAAATCAGACAAATTAATGAAGTTCATTTATCCTTTTTATTAAAGTAAGCATATCTCATTATCTCTACCACTCTACTCATTGATATGAATGCATATGGTCCGCCCATTCTAGTCCTGCAAATACTTCATTATTTTCCTACAGTGTATTTATAATGACTTCATTTATCCAGATCTGCAACCTCTAGTCAAAATTCAGTTCCTACTAAGTGCCTGATTATGTATGCGGGTAAGGAAGGCTAGCAACTTCTGAAAATTCCAAAATGCCATAACAATGACAGTAAACCATGCAACCCAAACAAGCATCCAACTTACCAGATACACAAATCGAGAATATTGTGCATACAACATTGGCAGCACCTGGGATTGATCTTTCCCTTTTTCAATGGCAATGGCTTGTTCATATAAAGAGAAAGTAGTTTCAAGATTCCCCTGCAAAAGGAAGGAAAAAAAATCCTAAACACTTACGAAATATCTATTAAAAGGAATTGCGCTTAATTGGATTTGTACTGATCCGAACTTACAAGCCGATATTCCATGTTTGCATGCTTAATGATTGCTTCTAAAAGCCCAGGTGCAATCTCAGTGTGCACTCGTTCATATGCTGCCCGAGCACCAGGTATATCTGCATTCTGCTCTCTAAATCGGGCAGCAAATAGATGAATATCTGGCTGTCTCTGTTAATAATAAGGCACAAGAAACAAACTTTTTGAGTAGTGGAGCAAAAACAGGTGCAACAAATAGAAAACAGTGGTCATTGACAAGGGGGGTGGGAGTACAAATAATCAACAATTTTTCTTTTCTGCAAATCTTTTGAAGCAAAAGAGAAAACCACCTAAGGTCCTAGACATCTGCCAACAAACTCATTAACTTTCACAGATATTGAGGGGTTCGTGGATCCAATTTTTTAAAAGCATGGACTGGTTCCCTTACCCTTCTACAGTTTGACTTCTAATTGAAGCCTAAAGCTTACAAGCAGCAAAAATGCATGCATACAGTATAAATTCTAGTTTAAGAGTTTCATGATTCATCAGATCAGATTCACTTGCTTCTTTACTTGATTCCAAATGGCATGCTACACCAAACAGCACACGGGAAGAAATGATGGCCAACATTATGGTTTTGACAATAATTGAGGATGACAACCTTTACAAATACTTCAGTTGCACGAACAAGAGCGTTATCAGCTATATCCATACTTCCACAGGCTTCCATGCACAAGACATAGCGTGTCCAATACTCGGGATAATTTGCACAGGCAATTAGGCACCTTTCATATAATTTGACAACCTGATCCACAAAAATCCAAACATCATGAACTATGGGACATGTAGGGGTACGTAAACAAGGTACAGAAAGGATCAAAGCACAAAAGAGTAATGCATAAGAAATACTCCATCGGTGAACAGAAAGGCCCCTCAAATACCAAAGGAGGGACCCTCCATGCTGAGATAGATTCTTAAGGAGACAAGAAGATACCTGCATTCATAACATATTTGTTTTAAGAAGAAGAATAATTTAACACATACATGAACCTAGAATGTCCACTAACAAATGTGAGGGTTTGAAGTACTTAGCCTTATAGAAACCAAATCGAAGACCCCAGGCTTTAGCCTCAGTTCAATTTCCCGTTTAAAAAGTTGCTTCATCCAACGGTTTAGCCAATAAAGCACAAGAAGCAGCCGATACTACGTAGCTGTAAGTCAATTCATAACAGCAACTAAAAAAACAAAAACTACATATCAAGTTATAACCAAGATGGACCAAAAACTCCAATACCTTATTCAGATCATCTTGTCCTTCGATGAAATCCAAATAATTATGCCAATTTTCAAGCTCTGCAACATTTAGAGGCCGCACATGAAAGTAGGGCCTCCTGATAGCATTTTCGAAGTCAGAGATCTTAGAATCGAACTCTTTAGCTTTCTTATACATCTCTTCTCTAAGCGCGATATACTTCTCCAACTCCTCTGCTTCTGTTAAGCCAGCATTTACAGGTTTAGAAGAGTCTTCTTGTTCATTAGGATGAACAACTCCTTCACTTGCTTGGCTACCATTCTCAGAATGACCAGACGGAGGAGCAGAAGTTTCCTCTGCAGATCTTAATTCCAACAGAGGTCGACTTGCAGCAAATTCCTTAAACCTACAAAGCCAAAAAGTACGAGAAAATGAATCATGACATGCAGCATTGAAGTGTTAAAAGAGCTCAGCATCAGGATGCCGCAGGAAAGAAACATACATCATAGGTATGCTTATTCCAGCATACATTATCAATACTATCAGAAAGAAAAAATGGAATAAACATCTTAATGCAACTTATATCCACATTAACGGAAGAAAACAAAATCCAAGTAACGATTTTTGCCACCTAGAGAATAATTCTAAATAGCAAAGAATAAATATCAGGTAAATAAGTTTCGACAAGTCAGTGCTACAAAAGTTTACCTATTAAAATAATCATCCAGACGTTTATTTGGGATCTCCAGTATTCTGGTGTATATTGATGCAACCCGGGCCCACTCTGAATGCATTTCCTCATATTCAATGTATTTGTCCCAAAGCGGAGAAGACAAATAATCTGTTCCAACATATGTTAACCCTCGTTCAAAAAGCCTGTTGCATGCAGCAAAACATCATTAAGATCACACAAGTGTCAAACTAGGCCAACGCAGATGCGTTCATAGACGAGTGAGAATGCACGAACATTGAAGGAGAAGAAACAATTCACTCTCATGACACATCTAAATGCTGCATTTACCTTCCCGATAAAACCCATACTATGTCTGAAAGGGAGCATTGAATCAGGCCATCTCAGTCCTTTTAACAGGACGGGATCTTCCCAGCAGCATTTTGCATATTGATGCACTTCAGAGTGTCAATGTTTAAGAAAGCCATGGTTTACAAACTACTATTTACTATGACGCAAACCTTCCAACAACGGAGAAAAGGTATTAAGGGACGGGGAAAGGGAAAACAAAAACCGAAAAGGAACGACCTAAGAAACTCTGAAACAGAAACCAATAGTGAAACCCCATAATCAAGGTTTGCACATAAAAAATGCATTTTTTACTCATTCCCATCACACCACTCGCCATTACATGAGGATCACTGTTGCAGGCAGACTGAAATAATGTTAGAGAACACCAAAAAAGAAAATGCTACAACCTCATGACACAAGAAATCACTCAAAGGAGCAACCTAGAATGAAAATCACCCAGTAAAAAATCTACTCATATTACCTTCTAATAGTCTCTGGATCACCATATGTACTAATGGCGAATGTGCAATAATGCAACCAAATATCCACTGAATATGTCACCCCCAGAACAGCTCTCTCATACACCTCCAATACTTTGTCCATGTCACCCAGGCGTGCCTCATGATCAGCATACTTTTTCCAATAACCATAGCACAATGGAAATTCAGCCAAGAAAGCATCATAAACTCTTCTAATTTTTAGTATCTTGTCCTGAAAAGAGCAAAGACAAACTAAAATGGTAAGCAAAACAATTCAAATTTAGTCCAGATATCAAAATATGACAAACGCAGTACAGCAAGCATTTCCTGCTCAGCCGGACATGAAACAACGACCAAAGAAACCAAAACAACAAGTAGCAACGAAGCCTCAGACTATCGGCCACTCACGAAAGTGGTTGTGGTTTTGCTTTTTCATTATTTGATCTTATACTTGAAGACAGAAAACGTATGGTTAGCATATCTACAGCAAGTTTCAAAGTAGAGTTCAAAGTGTGTCATACAAGTAAAAAAGGATGCTATGCCCCAGCATCTCAACAGACGTGAGAACAACCAAATCAAGCTTCAGTCTTACTATTTACTTAAGCTACAAGCAGGGAGCGCTTTTACGGAATTGAATGCCTTGTGCAAAACAAGCTTCTGTAGTCCATTTTTTTCACTTAATTTTTCCAATATATTGTGGAAGCAAAGACAGCATATACAACAGAGTTTTGGCTCCTCAACAAATTTAGTCCAAAACATATATCATACGAATGTACTATAGAATAACTAGTAATGACGGAGAAAACTGTAACATCATACCCATGCGACCTTCTCAGTTTCATCTATCAATGCAGTCCATGCATCAAAATCCAATGAATTGGCCTTAACAGTGTTCCACAACCGATCCTCTTCAGGTGATGTTGCAGGAACTACAAAGAGAAGAACAAATATATAAATAACAAAAATTAGAAAAGGGCAGATTGGTCCTAGGTTAAAAAAACAGCAGTTGAAGGAAGAAAAACGAAAAAGGATGAGTTTGTGCACCTGAAAGAAAAGTTTATATCAGAGGAAATATTTTTTTCCAATCAAATAAATACACCTATATTAATACCCAATCTTTTAGGCATAAACATACATTTCACGCGGACAAGCTGCTCACTTTCATTTTGCTTCCACCAATGTATGAATTTCATTAGCATTTCCATCAGTTGTCAAATAAATAAAAACTTCTACTGCAGACTATGAAACTAGGTTTCAACCTATACTGCTCAAAGATGATAACTCCTACACGTATTCAACTGCTAGCTTCTTGCTTATGAGAAAACCTCCAAAGAACTCATAGAGTAAAATTATTTCAAACAAGCTAGCAAATTACAATAATGCCCCTTCAGAAGTTGAAAGAATATAACAATAGCATAGATGTAGGAGGTAGCATGTCATAGAATCCATACCAGAACCATCCAATGACTGTTGCGTAGTAGCTGCCGCACCCATATCATCTGCAGAACTCCCATTCTCAACTGTTGTCAGAGGTTTCCCTTCACCACCTATGTTTCCATTTACAGATGCAGGCGCATGTTCGGTGGCCGGTGCCACTCCAGTAGTATTCTTGGCCTGATAAGCATTCCCATGCGCATCATGCAAAACGGAATTAGGATCTGCACCATACGCACTTCCATCAGCTGCTGCACTCACACCAGTTGGCATACTGTAACCTGCTTCCGATGCAGCTGCAGGAGCTCCATACCCTCCTTCGGAAGTTTCAGAAGCATAAGCACTCAGGTTCGGAATTGTATTGTTATAGCCAGCTGAGGCATATTCAGTAACCATATGCTCGGGGGCGACTGCTGTCTCACTGTCTCCCATACTTGATTTACGTCTCTATCTTCAAAGCAGAAACCAAAAAAGTACATCAAACTAACGAAACTAGGCAGATAATCCAAACTAAAACACCACTATTCTGTAGACAGTTTACAGAAGGTAAATGACTGAAATTTATGGAGCAAGACCAACAATACAATACCATCAATAAAACAAACCAGTCAAATGCTTCTGGCCTCAACGAAACCCATAAACTGACCATTACAGCAAACACGAAGGTTGAAGGGATTCGAGAGAACAGCCATAATACGACCGCCGTTCCTCAACTAACAGCAGATAGAACCTAGGTAGTGAAACGGAAGGGAAGCCAGCAATTCAAAAGCACGACAATCGGAATGCACTGAGAAAATCAACGATACGAATTCCAAAACCCTAATTCGGACCAACCTGGGCAACTAAACCCTAAAAATGCGAGAAACCGAGAAGAGACGCGCGCTGTGGCTGAGAAGAACTCACCAGAAGCGAAGGAAGTACGGAGTGCAGCGCCTGTGTCAGTGGCAGGCAGAGTTCTGGAGTACGGGGTTGAGCTGGTTGCTTTAGCTACTACGGGTTCGGCTTCTCGGGGTTGGAGAAGCTTCGAGCTGGTGGGTTCGCCCTTTTCTCTTGTTTCCCCGGTGAATCTGATGTATAAATCCTTCTTGGCGTTTCTGCAATCAGTTTTGTCTTCCTTTTCGTGTGCTATTTCCGTTTGTAATATCCAGCGACACCAAAACGCAGGATAAAAATTGAAAAGAGAGAACGGGTGGAGGGGTGTTTTACCCTCTGCGCCTTTGACGCTGGTAAATTGATGCAGCCGCCTAATATCGACCGTCGGATGATTAGAAACTGGTGTCGTCTGCTTGATCAGATATGGCGATATTTATTAATTTTTATTTTAGAAGATAGGCGATGCACGGAGTAGAGTCAAATTGTGAGCGGCCCCGCCACGTTATCTTGGATTAGGGTTTGCTAGAACAATCGCCTGGGCCGGAGGCCGGAGAGGGCCTGTTTGTGGTGGCCCAACTAAGTTGTAGTGGACGCTCCTCGTTTTATCAGCCTAATATCAGATCCGGCTCTAACATATGCTGAATCTGCACATTTGAAGGAAAATATGTTTATTTTAAGTAAATACAATTTATTAGTCAATTTTTTTAAATTTTTTAAATTTATTAACTAAATTTTTTAAAATACAAATTACTAGCGTGGGCCCGACCATTTGGTCGGAGGAAAATGATGTATGAAATTCAATAGTGTAATGGGGTGTATAGCTTATTGTTGTATAGTTTTTTTTTTTGAAACACGTGATAAAAATAGTGAATTTTAGTAGGAAACAGACATGAATGATGCAACGAATAAAAAATCAGCCTTATGAACCAAAATCAAGTACATGTACCTTGTGAAACAATATTGTTTCTGGTAATATGATGAGGTGGAGTAAGTTTTATAGAAACCGAATTCCAGAAAATCGAACAAAAAATCACATACCCCGCCGGTTTTTGGGAAATGAGCATCTCACAATCGTTGCTAGCTTTTACTCGGCCCGTTGGCCGATTAATTTGCTTTATAAAACTTTTATCTTGTCATCATTGTGCTTTCTGGATTTTTGTCAAGCCATGATAAAATCTAAAGAAACGGACCATCATGTATCCCTAGAAAATGGTGGTAAACACGGACCACCTGCCAAACTGGTTTGGATTGATATTTTTATCGGGTATCAGGGAACCATGTGATTATAAATTAGACTTGATCAAAACGGACCAAAACTTGAAATTCACCCTATTTCGCCGACCCATGCCAAACTCTAATTATTCTTTACTTTTAAACATTCTATTTGAAAATAAAAAATAATGAAAGAAAAGAGATGACCGCAATTCGCCATTTGCACATCACTGATTCAGGAATAAAACTATAGAATTTCGAAAGGAAACTGAAAATGTTTAGGATCGTTTTAATGTTAAAAATAACCAAATAGATCTTTCTTTTTAGTTTTTTACTAACAAATACCAAACGATTCCCTATAATATACACTATAATTTAATCATTATGATATCAAATAATTATAGAATATATATTTGAAATGATAAAAAAAATTGGACTAATTGGGTTGGTCGAGGTTGAACCAATGAATAACTTTAAAATGCATTATATTTTAGTCACTAAGATATAAAATAATAGCATAATATATATTATGCTAGAGAAAATAGCTTGTTTTAGAATGACAAACCAACGATGTTCATTTTTTTTATTTGATAGGCAAATCCCGTGTAGGTCAGGCTCATTCAACTCTTTTTTTTTATGATTAGTGGTTAGCCCATTAGAATCCATGCATTAGTTTAATGTTACTTTTTTTTATTTTTAGCAATAAAAAGGAGTATTGTTTTTGCCTTTTCATATATATTTTACCACCACGGAGAAATAAAAGGACTTAAATAAAAAAATTGACACTCCTGGACCCGTTTAAATCAGCATGTGTACGGTAAGTTGGCCCGTTCCACAGAGGAAAAAGAAAAAAATTGGCACTCCCTATTCTACCCTTCCTACAAACGCTCATGGAGCAGGGAATTTGAAATGGGGGAAGGGTTTTTTCCTCTCTGCAATTATATGTTTTTAATTTAAATAGATATAACAAATGTACTTAGTCTGATTGGTTATGATCTTTGCTTTTCTTTAAAGTGGTCATGGTTTGAATCCCAGTAAGTGTCTTTTTAATGAATAAAAAAGGTAATTGTGAAGACCAAAATGTCCTTCCTACTTTCACTCTGGATGCAGGAAACTTGAAATGGGGCTTCAAGTTTTCTCATTTGGCTTTTATTTATTGTGTTGATGAGCAAAATGTTAACTCCACTTTAGCAGTTCTGTTAGTAATGATAACTTGGTAACATGATGTTGAGTTGGAAAAAAAATATGATGGTTAACATTTCAAAATTTTAATTTTAAAAAAATTATTAACGAGACATATGGCTAGTGTTATGATGTTTTACAGAATATTTGTCTATTTCTTTATATTTTGAAATGTTTGGCTAATAATTTAAAAAGTATGAAAGGTTTAGCGAATAAAAATTGTATTTATCCTTTGTTTATAATTATAATCATAAATATACATTGATTACAAATTACTCAAAAACTAGTTATTGTAAATACCACCCCACCCCCAGTTATTTGAGAATAATGGAATTCATTCTAAGTAGGGGAAATCTGTGTGAATTTTCTTAGCATTTTATTTAATTGAAGGTTGGTCGCCTGTCAGTATTCTGTCCAAGAAGGCTTTGTTAGTTTAATAGATTCCAACCAGTGGCGGAGGGAGAGGGTAACAGGGTGGGTCCCGGGACCCACCCTGGTTCGGGGGAAATGGTTAAATTAGGTACAATAGTTAATTGATATCGAAAACCATGTCGCGTTTAATTGAGAATAGTTGGTCGAAAATTTTGTGTTTGAATCTTGGCGACCTCATTTCTTAAAAGTATACGGTATACAGATTTGTGCAAACATCAATTTCGTATAAGTTCACTTTCTTATAAGGGAGCATGGTAGTAAATGGTCTAATATATTATTGAAATCTTCCAACAACTCGATCAATTGATACTAAATATTATTTTTAAGAACATCATTCGAAAGCGAACGACTAGGTAAATCATGAATTATTGGTTGGTATAAGATTTATTATTAATCCTCTATCAACAACTCGAGGTATTGATACTAACGATTCTTAACAAAGAACACCATTTGAAACACTATGGCTAACTAAATCAATGATTGTTTGGTATATATGCAGAGTAATATTCTTGATATTTTCGATTGCTAATTCATTTTAATTTATCAAAAGTTTTCAACGTAAGATTATGTATTCAACGTAAGATTATATTAAAAAATTATTTTATCATATTTATTTTTTTTCGAGGTGGACCCACCTTAAACGAAATCCTGGCTACGCCACTAATTCCAACCTATTATCAGATTTTCCGTAATTTAATCAATAGTAAAACCACCAAAGGAAATTACAACGTGGACCTGATTGAGGATTGATAAATTAAACCAAACCCACTTTATTGCAGGCTTCCACGGTGATTATACTTGGTTTTTTGTTAGCAATCAAACCGAACCCCCACTTTGATGTGTTAGCAGTCATACTTTTGAAATTGTTAAATATTAGCAATCACTTCTCTACACATTTAGCAAGTCCACCATGATTGCTAACAAAGAAAAGTACATGCCCACAGTGTCGAGTTTTGACTGGTTAATCAACAAGGGTCAATCTGCAATTCATCAGTATGCATACAAGCTGTGAAGCAGACCTCATACTGACCAGACCTAATATAATTGCTGAATCGAACCGCATGGACCTTCCAGTAAACAGAATAAACACAGAGAGTCAACCAACCCGTAATACTTGAATTTCTCAGACCTCTTAGCCTAGATTTCAGATCATCCTCCAAACTTACCAAGAACCTTGCAAGAGGAGAACACAATCCAAAGTCCATGATTTCCGACCTCTTCCGCTGCAAGAAAGGAAGCATCTCTGATGGATTGAACAACAAAATTGAAGGCAGCAGAGACAGTTTCCATAATCAAGATATGTTTCCTACTCTAATAGATCTCTACAAGCAATTTGGTATGAAGCCCTTCTCACCAAGCTAATGGATAACTGTGCTTCTTGTTAAGAAAGGAAACCTAGGCTATGAACTGGCTCATAACCACATCTTTAGTCTGTCACTGTCCAGTCTGCTCAAGTACTGCGCATAGCAAGCAGACATTCACAACAACACTGATGCACAAGGATATGAATACGCAATTCCCCGCCGAGAGGAAGAAGGCAATCATGATCGTAAAGCAGTTGAGCCCTGATAAAACCGGCTCGCCATTGTCAAGTTCGTAACTTAACAAGATAGAACGAATGAAAGATTTATCCAAAACCTATCGCCAACTGAAATAACATTCAAATTCAGCTCAAGTACTACGCATTGTTGACATTCACTTCAAACCAACAGAACAGTGATCCACGAGGATCTGAAAACGCAATCACTAGTCGAAAGGGACAAGGCAATCAAGGTAATTTGCAAAACCATCAAATGGCATATGATCAAGTATGAGCATAATAGTACAACAATCATGACTAATACCGCCAATTATTCAGCTCAAAATTCCCCAATTTCCCAACATAATCCGATGAACCGCGTCTCTAACCTGACCAGACACTCAAAATGAGGGGGCGGGCAGACCACTACTTCTGAGGCGCACCAACCGGCGGTGCTCCGAGGAGACTCTGCTGCTGGAGCTCGAGCTCGGTCAGCTGCTGATCCCTATCCATCTCGATGATCAACGGCACCACCAAGATCAAGAAGGTGGTCCCGGCGATCCAAGCCGCCTTGCCGGTGCTGCGGAGGAGTCTCTTGGTGACATAGGCGGTGTCGCACGCGGCTCGCTTGCCCTTGGAGACGATCTCGGAGTTGGTTAGCTTCGCGAGGATGGTGTCGGAGTCGGGCTGTTGACGCTTGGGAGGACGCTTCTCCGGGAGCGAAACACCGCCTCTGGCTGCCTGAGAGGCCATGGTAATTGGCGACTGTGGAATTAGGATGTGGCTAGGGATTTCGCGAAAGCTGAGTTCAAGGATGAAGGGTTTTGGACAACAGCTGATCTTCTGCGTTGGGTTTTAGCCTCTTAGGGTGAATAGTCATGAAACGCAGACGTTTTGGAGTTGAGCTGTTTGGTTGGGCCGGGGGCTGTGTTTACAAAACTATAACGGAGAACTGAAAAATTTAGTGGTTTATGGTTCAACAATTAATCATTACAGAACTTGATTAACTATGAATTGACCCGTTCATGCCTTGGAACATAAAAGACATATATAGTACATT